GGAGGACGTCATTCAGAAAGGGACTGGAGCCCGGAGAGCAAGGGGAGAAGGGGAGGTGGTCTGGTACGGTTGGGGGGACAAGACAAAGAGACCAGTGCGTCAGTGCGTTCCCAGAGATTCTGCAAAACAGGCGCCCCCCGCACCTCCACCCCCACTCCCACCCCCTGCCGCCGAGATACAGCTCAGAAGTCAGCGTGTGCTCTCAGCTCTTGGCAGATGGTCACTGAGCCTGTGTGCTGAAGAACCGGAGGGGCAGGGGCAGGTGACAGCTCCTTCAGGGCCTAGGGCACAACTGCACAACCCGCCTGTGATCCCCCACCCCTAGCCAAAAACCACAAAGCCGGAACACTTCCAAAAATGGGTCTTTTCCCTCAATTTTCCAGATGCATAAAAGAAAAAAAATGCATTCAGTGTCTGATGAAAACATATTTTCTTGCAATTTACAAATAGTCTACTGGACGATTTGACATGGCTGAGATTTGGGGCAATATATTTCTTGTGTTCAGCATCCTGGATGACCATCTCAAAAACCCAGATGCCCTGGTCAGCCTAACGCCAAACCAGCCCAGAGCATTCAGACAGGGAAGGCTGGGGGACTGGTTTTTAACCACCGCCTACGATGCGCTAGAGGACCCCAGGGGCGGTGGGCAGGGGACCACAGGCCTTTTTCCCACTAATCCTAGACTCCGTACCTGTGAAGGAAGCTGGCACTTTCAGACTCTGGGAGGCTCCTCGGTGGCCAGAAACCTTCTCTCCCCTAGAGTCCCCTCTCTATGACAGAAATGATGCTAACCCCAAGGCCACCCCTCAATGGGACCTGCCTGCCCAGTCATCCCTGGAGATGGGGACTCCCAGAGAATGAAATTAAAAGGTGCCTCCCTGAGGCCATCTTCCATGGTGAGATCCTGCTGGCATGGCCAAGGGAGCAATCCTGTCCTCACTGCCTTGCCTGCTCCTAAATCCCAGCAAAAGCAGGACCTCCAGACAGCCGCCATTGAGACAAGGAAGTAGGGAGGGGTCCTCTGCTGCCCTTGGTGTCCATCTGCCAACCCAGACTTTCCAGCGTTCTGCTCTGGCCGTGAGAGGCCCAGGGCTGCAGAGACAAGCTGCCTCTAACACACTGTGCGATCTGGGGGAGCACCACCCCTCCCTGGGCATCAGTGTCCTCATCTGCGAGAGACAGGATGGAACCACACGGTCTTGAAAAAGAAAAAGCAGCCCCAGGCACATGGACAAGCAAGGGCAGGTCGCAGAGCCTGGCAAACAGGGAGCCGGAGAGCACCCCAGCAGGCAGCGGGCAGCGCTGAGAAGCGGACAGGCAGGAACACAAGAGCATGAAACCCATTCTCTGCCACCATGTGACACTGTTTATGAACATGTTTAAGTTTATACACCCCTCCCCACAAAACACTGATTAATGACAGGGGCAGGGAGTAACTTGACCATGGAGAAGGCTGGCGACGGCGCCTTGATCCAGAGACCACAGCGAGCACCTGCAGTAACGGGACACCTCAGACTCACGCGCCACCTGGCAGCGTGCAGCGGGAGAACCCAGCCTGGCTTCGAGAGATTCCTGCCCAAGATGCAAAACCCAGATACAATCACTGGGAGACATCGGACAAACCCAAATTGAGGGGCATTCTACAGAATAAGTGGCCTGTAATACTTAAATATGACAAAGCTGTGGAAGTCAAAGAAAGACCAAGAAATTGACAATTTGAAGGAGACATGCCCTTTGGCGGTAAAGAATATGATTGAGAATCATATTGGCAAAATTTGAAAGAGTACTGATGATTAGATAATAGCAATGTATTATTTACCAATTGTGATGGTTCGGTTACAGTTTTATAGAGGGTTGTCCTTGTTTGTATAAAATATACACTAAATTAACAACTTAATCACAGCAACTCAATCACAAATGGTTGGGGGGAGGGTGAGTTTTGTACCATACTTGCAACTTTCTGTGACTTTGAAGTTGTTTCAACTACCTTAAATGTTTTTTATCTATCTGCCTATTTATTTATTTATTGGAGACAGGGGTTGCACTCTGTCACCCAGACTGGAGTGCAGTGGCACAATCATAGCTCACTGTAGCCTCGAACTCCTGGACTCAAGTGATCCTCCTGTCTCAGCCTCCCACGTAGCTGGGACTATAGGCATGCACCACCATGCCCAGCTAATTTCTTTCATTTTTGTAGAGATGGGGTCTCACTACATTGCCCAGGCTGGTCTCAAACTCCTAGGATCAAGTGATCCTCTTCCCTCAGGCTCCCTGGTTGCTGGAGTTTCAATGTTTTAATTTTAGAAATTTCTCTTAAAACTTGTGTACAGCCTTTGATTCAGCAATTCTAATTTTAGGATTTTATTCTACAGATATATTTGTATAAGTATGTAGGTACAATGATATGTATGTCTGTGCAATGCTATTTATATATCATCATAAATATATATTGCATATATGTCAACTGTAGATATTAAGAATTATCTACAGTGATATTTATGGCAGAATCACTTAAACAGCAAAAAATCTAAAATTAACCTCCCATCAATAGAGGACTGGTAAGTAAGTATGGTAACTCCTGCAACGGACACTCCGCAACCATTAAAAAAGATTCGGTGAGTCTATGTGAATAGTAGTTCATATCTACCCAGTACTCACCATGGGGTACTCCTCACCCAAGTCCTTCATGCATATTGATTCAAAACAACCTTATCACGCAAATGCTACTGCTATGCCCATCATACAGAAGGGAGAATTGAGCTACGGGAGGCTGAACATGCCCAAGATAATACAGCCAGCAGATAACGCACTGGCTGGAATTCTGACTCTTGCAGTTGGTTTGAGCCCACAAGCTTAACTACACCACACACACACACACACACACACACACACATTAATTCAGAAAGAATCCACATGACACCGTTAATAATGATTGCTTTTAGGGGGTGGAGTTGGGAGTAAGAATAAGAGAGAATTTGACTTTTTATTTTCCTTATAGTCCCTAATATTCTTTACCAAATATCCTTATCACATATGACCATGTATCAGCTGTATACATTTTTTTTTTTTTTTTGAGACAGAGTCTCACTGTGTTGCCTGGGCTAGAGTGCCGTGGCGTCATCTTAGCTCACAGCAACCTCAAACTCCTGGGCTCAAGCGATCATTCTGCCTCAGCCTCCCGAGTAGCTGGGACTACAGGCATGCGCCACCATGCCTGGCTAATTTTTTCTATATATTTTTAGTTGGCCGATTAATTTCTTTCTAATCTTAGTAGAGGTGGGGTCTCGCCCGGCTAATTTTTTCTATATATTTTTAGTTGGCCGATTAATTTCTTTCTAATTTTAGTAGTGGCGGGGTCTCGCTCTTGCTCAGGCTGGTCTGGAACTCCTGAGCTCAAACAATCCGCCCGCCTCGGCCTCCCAGAGAGCTAGGATTACAGGTGTGAGCCACCACGCCCAGCCAGCTGTATACATTTTTTAAAAGCCACTAAAATAGGCACTAAAGTATTAAAACTTAAAAAAAAAAAAAACTTCTACTCTTAAGGGTCTTACAGTCTGTATATCAACTTTTGAGGGCTTTATTAATTTTATGAACGATAGGAAGGTATGTGGTACAGAAACGAAAACCATAAGAACCAGACCGTACGGGTTGTGGAAACCCTGATTTAAGTGTTGGTTTCGCCCATTTTCACACATCCACGATGGTGTTTGGTGAGAGCTCCTGTCCTAACCTAGCCCAGGGGCCCGAAATACCCTGATTCACCTGCAGTGCCCCCTGGGCTGCCCAGGCAACAAAATGCTCTAACCTGAGTAGTTCTTTACGTTCATCTACTGTGCTATCACAATAGTCCTATAAGGTTTAGTTTCCTCTTCTGTCAAATGGTGATGGTAATATATGTTTACCTAACAGCTTTATTTATTTCTTTATATTCCCGTCCCCATTTTGCAGATACGGAAACTGAGCTGCAAAAGTAGTTCCTGGAGAAAAGAAGGTACCTGTGTTTGATCACTTTAAAACAACGAGGTTGAGGGAGAATGCTCCGATGCTCCCAGCCCTGGAGGAAAGAGGGAAGATGGCGATTCCCTTCGTATCCACGGGAATTCAGAAGGACAAGCAGGACTGTTGGGCTGGAGAGGCGGCTCTGCTTCGGACCCGCTGGGTTTGAAGCTCCCCGGACCCTGGGGTCCCGGAGAGAGCGCAGGTGCAGCGGCTTCGGGCTCCCAGGCGCTCCCCAGCACCGGGTCCTGGGTCCTCACACCGCCCCGCCCCGTCTGCCGCGGGTCTCGACTTTCCCTGGCAGGCAAGGCCTCAGTCCCCTCCCCGCGGCCAGGCTGCCAGCTGCTGTGGCGCCTTCCTGGTCCTGATCCCTGCGCAGAACAGAAGTGGTGAAGGGCACGTGGTCTGCGGCAGGAAACCCTGACTCAAAGTCCCACTTACTAGTCGGCGTTCCCACTTATTAGGTGGTGGCTTTGGATAGGGCGCTTTTCTGAGCCTCAGTTTCCCCACCCGTAAAGCCAGAGTAAACAGCATTCTCCCTGCAGAGTTAGGACGGGAATTCTAGGAGGCGCTGCGCGCTGCGCTCCGAGGCGCGCTCAGCAAGCGGGTCCCACGGAGCCAAGGGCAGGGCCGGACGTGGAGGCCGCACCACCCTGGCAAAGTAGCTGCAAACTTGCTTGACTCGCAGGTGTGTGCTCAACTTTCCCTCCCCGCCGCCTTTCTCCCCAAAACTGGCTTGGGGGCGAGGAGCGAGGGGCTCTCCCCTGCACTGGCGCCTCCCGCGCGGGCGCCCCGGGGTGTCCGTTCCTCCCTCCCCCTGGCCCGAGTCTGCGAGGTGCCCCGCGTTCCCGGAGCTGGGCGGAGCGCAGCCCACGTGATGCGGACGGGCGGCACCAGGACCTGGCCGGCTGCCCGCCCCGCCTCCGCAGGTCAGGAGCGCGCCAGACCCCGTGAGCCCTGCGCCCTGCCTGGCCCCAACGCGCCCCGACCCGACGCTCTGCTTTGTCGCCCTCCTTTCCTTCGCAGGACTGGAGAGAGCAGCGCTGGGGCTGGGCCAGGGACTGAGCGTCCCCGGGGGAGAAGGTCCGGTGAGTGCGCGGAGAAGGGTGTGCTGGGGTACGCCCGGGCTGGGGGACTGTCCTCAGTGTTGCATGCCGCCTCCCTGGTGTGAAAACACCCCCAACCGCCAGCCGCCAGGCTTTGGTCCAGGCTGGGATGGAGAGCGCCTCAGCCATGGAACTCCAAACCCCGGGCTTCACCTGGATACCTTGATCACAGGGGTCTGGGTTCTGCCCCACCCCCAGCCCATTTGGGCGAAACAGCTTGTTTTAATCAGAGGCCCACTGAGGGTCTGCAGTGCACGGAGGGCTAAGGCGGCAGACCTCCAGGGAGACTGGGCTGGGTGCCCAGGGGCCCAGGCTGTCTGGGGAAAGACTTGCTCCTGCAGTCAGAGCCCCTCTTGGGGAGGGGAGGGGAGGGGAGGATCTTGGCATGGCAGAAGTGTCCTGGCTTCCTCTGGGCCTCTGAAAGCCCCAGTTTTATTGTAATTTGGACAGGCTCCCACGCCCTCCCACCTTGTTGTAGAGATGTGGGAAGGGTCTGTGGGTGACTTCCAGGGCTGACCCGGGCAGCCATGGGGTTCGTCCCCACTGCCCCCCCAGTCCCTGCAGGGGCTGAATCTCACTTACAAATCCCCAAAGATTGGACAGGCTTAGATGCTGTTTCCCACTGACCTCAGATAAATACTGAAAACCCCCAACCCCATCACTTCCACATGAAACTTGGGTGGGGGCCTTTGCATGCTCTTGTTTTATACGGCGGGAATGTCCCATATGTCTTTCTGGGGCGTGGATGATGGGGGGAGAGTAGGCTCCAGTAGCCTTTTGCACCGGGTGCAAAGGCTGGCGCTGCCCACAGCTGTGGCGCCTCAGGAAAGGCCGGGCTTGCAGATGCGACGTTGGCACCTGGGGTTCAGCAGGGATGTGTGGGTCCTAAGAATCCCACCCCTCCACCTGTGGGCGGGACACAACTGACCTCAGCAAGGCCACAGCTTTCCCTGGCAAGAGCCCCTCAGCCCCCCCAGTCTCCAGGGCCTGCCCGCTCAGGATCTACGCTCCCGCCGTGGGGAGCTGTGCTCCCGGACCGCGCTCGCTCAGCGTCCCATCCAAACACGGAGGACGACAGCAGGTGTCTCACAGGATTGACTGAGGACACATTTAAAAGATCTGGGACAGTGCCAGGCATACAGATGAGGAGTCAGGGCGTCTTCTTAAGGCATTAGTGACTCTGAAAAATTAACACAAGCTGAGTTTGTGCCTGGTGGGCTCCAGGGGATGGTGAAGGGGTTCCAGAGCCCTATAGGCTAACGAGAAAAGTGACTTTGGTGCCTTTAATGAGTGCGGTAAAGGCTTAGGCGTGCCCCAGTCTGAGTGGTTGGGGCGGCCTTCCAGGGCTGCCCGTCCGTTCATTTCAGAAGCAACTTCTGGAGGAAGATCCTCCCCCACCCCGCCCCACTGCACCCACCCCTCACCCTCCTCTTAATGCTAACCAGCTGGCGTCATCAGGGCTGGAGAGGGCCAGAGAGGCCATGGAGCCCAGCCAGTGTCCACGGTGCAGATGAGGAAACAGACCCTGAGAGGAGGGAGCCTGTCCGGGCAGCAGGGCCAGCTGTGCCCCACCGGGGTGGGCCCCCAGCTTCCGCCTCTCAGCCCTGTCCTCTTTCTGCAGCTTCCCCCTGGGACCTGTCCTTGCTGTAGACTAGAGCTGAAGCTTCACATGCAAATGCAAACCCACGTCCACGTATTATATAGTGAGGTTTACCGACAACTCCCCGGAGAGCTGGGCGGGCAGAGCGGATGGGCAGGTTGGTGGGTGGGCAGCTGAGAGGCGGGACGCCTGCCCAGTGCCATTGCTGCTAGAGCCATTCCAGAGCTTGGTGACCGCACCACAGGTGTGCCAGGTACACACACGGGGAAGAGAGTGGCCCTTCCAGGTGGAAATGTGCCCAGCCCCTGATAAGGACTGGAGGGCCAGTTCCTACGTGGGTGACAGGCCCTGCCCACAGAATAACCACACAAGCCGACTCAGGCCACAACATTTGGGAAACAGCCACACAGGGTCAAGGCAGAGGGTACCACAGCTGGCACCTCTGCCCACCCCTTTACCAGCAAGCACAGCAGCACGCCTGGGCTGAGTCAGCGAGCACCCCTGCCCTTGCCGGGTGGGCGTCTGTGAGGAACCGTGACTTACTCTCCAGTTTCTGCTTGCCCAGGCCGGTGACCGAACACAGTCACTGTTCCAGGATTCCTGGGGCAGCTGGCCCAAGAGGTAATTAGCCAAGTCTTCATCTAGGAGGGATCGCCGCCCAGATGTCCCTTCAATTTGGCCAAAATATGAATTCAGATCTTTTACGGGTACAGACAACACGCCACGGAAATTCAGTGGTCTGAGTCTGGGACCCCCGTCTTCCAAAGCCAGCCCCGCTCTCCCCTGCCTGCTTGTTACTCTCCGTGTCACCTCCTTCTCCATCGTGGCCATTAAACCATTGGGAAACACTGGCGGTCTCAAAATTTAAAATATGATTAAATGGGTGCAGTGGAACAGGCGCAAAGTGGGAGTGTTTCGTTCAGGGGACTCAGGACGAGGCGTTATCCACAGAGACGGAGCAAGGAGCAGATGGAGCCTGCCAGCATCTGCCCTCCCGACAGGCACGCCGGGGAGGCGCCTGGCCAGGCCAGGCACAGAGCAGCCCTGCACCCTCGTGGGTCTGGCAGATTCTCTGCCCCCACGTCCCCCTTGACTGTGTGGGTGGAGGGTACCTGGTGAGACGGGGGCCTGGGGAGCCACTACAGCAGCAGTGATGGGGGAGGAGCTGACTCTGCCACAGGCTGTGGCTGTCCCCTCACCATACTCCGAGTGTCCCCATCAGTGCACTGATCGGAGACAAGCGGCAGGGCAACACGTCCCCAAAATGCTAGTGACTTTTGTTTTGTGCATTTTAAATGCTGAAGTCAAACATATTCTCCATTAGATTTTAGACCATTTTCTAGAGGTAGTTTTTTAAAGGCTTTAGGCCCGCATTTAATTAATTCACTAAACCGGAAGACTGAGTCACAGTCGATAACATCCATGCCATGGGCCATCGACCCTCAACCCCTGGCTGGCCTGGGAACACGCTCCCCTGGGAAGCACCCCCCGGGGCGGCAGGACGCAGCCTGCAAAGGGGCCACATTCGACCCCCCCTCCCCTCCCCGCACCTCCTGCTGACAAGGAAGTTGGACCAGAGCTAAAAATTAGCTAGAGTGAAATTTTTCAAGTGACTTTTAACTTGTCGTTAATTGTTAGATGCACTCATTTGTTTCCCAGAATCCATACTGCAGCACTCCAGGCCCTAGTAAACTGAGCATAGTGAACACGTTTTCTTGAACTCAGGGTCGTTACTGGAGCCTCCGAGATTGTGCTTGAGAGTCCTGTGGAGACGCGTGGGGGGCACGGCTGCCTCTCCCACCCGGCTCCGTGCACGGCTCGCGTGTTCTCTCCCCAGCCTCTCTATAGGCTAGTGCCAGCCTGTGCCTCCCCCCAGCCCCAGCCTGCAGACCCTCGTGTCCAGCACTGCCCCCCGGCCCCTCGCTCTCTCTCCGGTCCCCTGCTTCAGTTGTCTTTCCTGTTTGGTGAGAAGCCAAGTGACTACCCTTATTAGAAACAAGCATGGAAGGAGAAACAGGTTTAGACGGAGTGGGGGAAGAGGCGGGTGTCAGGGCAGCCTCTGGGACATTGGTTATGATGCGCTGTGACCTTTACGTCTGTCTGCTTACTGGTCACCGACTGTGCTAAGGGAGTTAAGCTCACATGGTAAGAAGAGCACACTTTCTCCTTTTGTTTTGCTTTTCTCCCTCAGACCTCACGATTTAAGTTTCTTAAAGTGAGGCCTGGAATTTTGACTCCTACTTTAGGGAAAGAGAGAATGGTAACTGCTCAGCTGACGGTCACACTGTTCATCCATTCTGAAAATAGAATTTCAATAAATGCTCTCCTTAGGGTACAGGTTTTTTTAAAAAAATAATGAGAAATAAAAATGAATAAACTCTAGTCATCCATCAAATAAGAACCTTTTGTTCCAGTTTTTTAGAAACCAGAAACTAAATGCTGTAGGGGAGCATCGAGAATGAGTTCTGTTGTCCTGTTGCTTGTCCAGACTCTAAATGCAACCATAAGTTAAGAGGTCACATGGGTCTGCTGCATCAGGGAACCTCTTAACGCATCACAAACAATCATAATTCTGTTTGAGAGTGGAAATATTGAGGGCTGGGTGCAAAAAATTCATGAAGTTATTTTTTACCAATTTTAATGCACAAGCCCAGGGGATATTTTGGTTGACTTCCATGGGACCTATGTAGAAATTTTATTTTAAATGGTATCTGCCCAGAAAATGTCACTTTCCATAATTAACTTCCTGTGCAACAAAATCAAAGTACATTTCTAGCACAGAGGAAGTTTTGTTAAACATTTTCACAATGAATGCTTCCAAATGGCCAGCAGCATGAAAGGGGGGTGCTACTCAGAATTCAGAAGCAAAATTGAGTTTTTTCATTGGTTTTAAGGCTTCCCACTAAAAGCAGACAGATTGGACCCCTTCTCGGATGTTCCTGAGAAAAAAAGTTTAAGTCCTCAAGGAAGACTTGTAGTGGTTTTTAAACTTTCAGTTACTCACAACACTCAGTCGCCCAGATAAAACCTTCTCCAGAACCTCAGCACCTAGAGCAGAGCTGGCCTGGCTGTAGCAGCAGCGTTCTCGGCTGAGGGCCTTGCCTTATGGCCCACTGCAGACTGCAGAACTGGGGCACAGAAAACACCCGCCGCATGCTGGGAATAGACAGAGGTGCTGTTCTCATGGCATTTAACAATAACTAATGGGCCATCTCCAACTGTTAGGAGGTATAAAGAACTGTTAAAGGGATGAGAGTAGGGAGTGGTGGGTGAAAGAATGGGAAGTCCTCTGAGGGGAGTGTGCACAGTTGTGCATTGTCCCCAACATGCACACATTGGGGGTGAGGCCCTCCCTGGTACAGTCATGCCTCTAATTTTATACCCAGTAGTGATACCCTCATGCCTCCAATTTTATACCCAGCAGTAATGTCCACACTGGCATGAGCTGCATGGCTGTGTAATATCACTGTATGAAAAGACAGCAAGAGGATCTGTCATTCTTGTTCGGCCACCACCCCTGCATCACAGCCCCACCTCACACCCATCACGCACAGCCCCTCTGTGACTCTCCCCCCATCTAAGTGGATGAGTCTCCTAGAGCAGCAATCCCTAACCTTTTTGGCAGCAGGGACCAGTTTCATGGAAGACAATTTTTCTACGGACAAGGTGGGGGGTGGTTTCAGGATGATCTACCCCCAGAGCTGCCGCACCACATGGGAAACATTCATCTGGTGTCAGGCAGGTGGAAGGGGGGAGAATGGGATGGGTATATTCACACCTAATGGGTGTGGTGCACACCATGTGGGGGATGGACACACTTGAAGCTCTGACTCGGACAAGGCAAAGGCAATATGTGTAACCTAAACATTTGTACCCCCATAATATGCTGAAATACAAATAAATAAATAAAAAATAGATATGCTTAAAAATAAGCATGAACAGCCCCCCAAGCCCAGAGGACAGTAAAACCTTCCAGATGGTGCAGAGTCTCCCTACTCCTCCTACATAGCAAGTCGGTCTTCGAGGCGCCCTTGCCCCAGCAGAGCCTGCACCCCCACTGTATAGGGTCTTGGGGAATACAGAGAAGACCATGAACTTGCCATGAAGTTTCCTCCTTTCTGTGCTGCTCCCTCTCCCAACAAACCTAAGGTGAGATGCCCTGGGGACAGAGCATTCCTCCCCAGCACATCTCTGGGGCTCCCACTGCAAATTGCAGCCCTGGTTTGGGGAAAGGAGCCATGCCACTCGATGGGAAATTCTCGATGTTCATCCCACAAGGAAAAGAGAATGAGGGACCCGTGGCCCAGTGTATGTGTTCCAGGGCAGGAAGTAGATCCCTTTTAAAATTTGACTATGGGAGTTTTACACATAGATACATTTCAATTCATTAAACTACACAATATGTGTTAAACTACACAAGTTTCCAGACCAGGGTTTGCCTGTTTAGAGGACTGTTTAACCCACGTACAATGTCCTGAGCTATCGGCTGCTTGCTGTTTTGCCTCTGACTTTGTGACTTCTCAGCATCCGTGGCTTCCCGGGACTGACCACTTGTGATCCTGTGATGTTCCAGGTGTGACCCTGACGAGAGGCAGAAATGGGGAAAAAACTGGATCTTTCCAAGCTCACTGATGAAGAGGCCAAGCATGTCTGGGAAGTCGTTCAACGCGACTTTGACCTTCGAAGGAAAGAAGAGGAAAGACTAGAGTGAGTGTGCTGGGGCTGAGCTCCCAGAGCATGGAGTCCCTGATGTCCCCCAAGGGCCATCACCTGGGGTGCTATCAGGGGGCGGACAGCCAGCAGTGCGGGGTGAAGAGGGTCAGACAGGAAGCCAGGATCTGGGACACAGTTCTACTCTCTGGCTGTGGTTTTCTGGTCATTAAAATGAGGGCATCTCACTTTCCAAACAAGCAATTCCGTTGTTCTCTGAATAGTTTTGTTGCATCTTCCTGTAGCTTCTGGGTGACATCTCCTAAGCCAGGTGATAATTAGGCCACAGCATTTGAAGAATACGGGAGAACAAAAGGTGATAAATGAGGAATGACTCCACGCCATTCTGAAACACCAAGCACGATGGGACAAAGGGCTTTAGGACAGAGGCTGCCTTTCCACTGTTCTTTTCATCGGTGACAGGTGGCATCCCCATCTCCATTATGGGTGACCTCAGCACCGTTTTGTGCCACTCTGCCCCATGACTGGGCTAAACCGCCGGTCGTCGTCCACTCCCAAGTCTACCTCACGTCTCCCTGCCCCCGAACCTCTGGCTTGTCTACCCACTGGGCCCCTTATCACCTTTCCTTAGCGTCTGTTGTGGGTTGGGTTCCCTACTGAGCAGAGCACACGTGAGCAAAGACTCCGGGTGAGGGAAGTAGCCCAGGGAAGGTTCAAAGGCTGCTCCCAGTAGAGGGCAGAGGCCGGTGTGGCTGGAGCCGGAGGAGAGGCAGTCAGAGATATAATGGGGGTGCTGGTGCTGGTCTTGTGGGTCCCTGCAGAGCTTTACAGGACTTTGGCCTTCCTTTGAGTTGCTGCAGGCCTTCGACCCGAGCCACAGCAAGTAGGTTCCTGAGAAGTGGGCAGAGGCACCTTGCAGGCAGAGCCAGCAAGCTTGGGTTGGCAGTGAGGTGCCCAGATGGGAGGGGCCAAGAGGAGCTGCAGGTCATGGCCTGAGTAACTGAGAGTTTGGAGGTGAGGTCGGCTCAGCTGTGGAAGGCACCAGTGGGACAGCTTTGGGGGAAACCAAGAAATGGTTTCAGGCATGTTGGAGTGAGGCTGCCCATGAGATATCACATGGACATGTGAGTGGCAGCTGGACACACACGCTAGTCTGGAGCTTGGGAGAGATGTCACTGTGAGAGCTGTCACTATGGAGACGGTGTTCGTGTCAGTTTCCTACGGCTGCTGTATGTGTGATTTGTAAACTGCAAGTTTAGTGGCTTAAAACACAAAAATCTATCTCTTAACAGTTCTGGAGGTCAGAAGTCCTAAAATCAAGGTGTCTGCGGGGCTGCCTTCAGTCGGAGGCTCCTGGCCTTTTCCACCTTCTAGAGGCCTCCGGCCGTGTGATCACGGGGTGGGTTTACTAAAGCCCCAAATGCCTATGTGAAGGGACGAGGTGGCGTGGGGCGTGTCAGCGCCACGGCTGGTATTGGAAATGTCCGTGCGGAGAGGCAGTGGTGTGGAAAGTCTGACTCGGGGTGGTGTTGAGTCAAGAACAGTGGAGCCCGAGCGGCGTTGCAGGACTGGTCCTTCGTGTGCACATGCAGTTCTAGCTGGTGACTCACTTCCGGGAGACAAAGACTCGCGTAACAGTGGAGACTTGCTGATGGGATTTTTTAGTTTCTTATTGTTTGTTTTTGTCTCTTGTCAATGTCCTATTGGTTAAATATGCTACTAAAAGTAGAGCTGCCTCTACCTGTGAGAGGCCTGTTCACAAGTCCCTCGGGACCCCAGGGCAGTGGCAGGGGCCCAGGCCCTGGTCGTCAGGCCCTCGCAGGCACGGTGAGCACCGTGAGGCTGGAAGACGTAGGCTCAGGTTCCACTCGGAGCGGGCGGGGTTGGCACCTGGGAAGAGCACGGTTGAAACAAGCGAAGAAGAAAGACCGAGTGCTCACTCAGGGCCAGCGCGGGCTCTGCGCGGGGTGAGCTGAAACATCAATACCAGAAGCCCACTATGAAATCGAAGATGATTTTGTAAATACTAACCCTCCTTCTCCCCAATCCTTTACCGATGTCAGCCTGCTCGTCCAGTTTCAACATACACGGTCATCCGCATCTTGCTGCCCCAGGGCCCGTTCTCCACGGCATGGCTCTGGGTGACGCCCTCGGCGTCCTCATCCTTGCTCCAGTTACTGATTCTTTAATCTCTAAATCAAAAGAGGCTGAGTGAAGAAACTGGTCCTCAAGGGACCACTAAGTGGGTGGCAGTGACAAACTCAGCAATTCGGGAGCATCCAGCTGCGTTCTCAGTGCATTTGACGGACTCCCAAGGGGATGCCCGTGGGTGGCCCAGCCCGGGAAACCCACCACGGTCGTCGATAGGACAAAACTAAGGGGGCCGGGGGGACTGTGAAACCAAGAAACTTGGAAGAACTTTATTGTCCGAATACGCGTCAGGTGGACACAACGTGTGGACGCGAGGCCGGTCCCCAGAAGCAGGTTTGCCAAGAGGCCCGTTTCCCCAACAGCTGACTCACCAGATAGACACATTTGAAAACAGTCAAGCCAAAAAAAAAAGGGCTTCTTTTAATATTTACAGAATTAAGGGAAATGAGTGTCAGATGGGCGGCTGAGCGGTCTGTTTCTCACCAGATGAGAGCGTCAGTCAACGCTGAAGCTGCCGGGCAGGGTCCGGTGGTGACACCGCCACCTTTCCCCGCAGCGTAAGGCCAGCACACCTTTCATTTCTCCCCTGTCAGAGCAGGGACAGACCAGCTGGCCCGGAGCCTGACATGCTGGGGGACGAAGGCATGTGGCCGTGAGACCTGCGAGACCAGCAGGCTGTGCCCAGGACACTGAACCTCCTGCTCCCTCGGCCAGGCCCGACCCCCCCTCCAGGCTGCGCTGACGTGGCCCCCCCACCCCAGGCCCTCCTCGCAGCCTTTAGCAGGGATTAGCGACAAGGAAGCGGGAGGCCGTCTGGCTCTGACTCAGCCCCGGGCAGACGTAAATCTCTCCCTGGAGTGGCTGGTGTGACCAGGGATCAGGGGAGGGCCGTTTACTCTACGGGGTGGAGCGTTATTCCTGCCTCCCCGGAGGACACAGGCTGCGTGCCACAGAATCAGAGACGGGAAGGTGTACAAAATAGGACATGAATGCCGGTGGCATCAGACAGGCATTTTAGGATAGATTCGACTTAACCATCTCCTTTCCCCGGCGGGGTGCTGCAGCGAGGGCGCCGTGGGCGAGCTCTGACGGCAGGGCGGACACTCGCGTGGAGAGCGGCCCTCCTACGCCAGCTGCATCGTCCGGTGCGGGCCCTGTGTTCCGCGAGCCTCCGCGGATGCAGCTGCTTCCCTGGGCGTGTGGAGGGGGCACAGCTGCAGACGCAAGGAAAAGGCAGAGGCTTTGCTCAAAGGGCCAGGTGCCTGCCTCCGACAGCACCTGAGCAGCGCGGCCCGCTGTCCTGCAAACCAGGAATAACGGAGCTTCACGTCGGGGGAGGCACAGGGGGCTCAAAGGACCAACTGCTGGAGGGCAGGACTGGTGACGGCAGCTGGGAGGGAGCCCGGTGGCAGGGTGGCCAGGCAGGGCTCCCAGGGGTCTGGTCGTCACCTCTCGCCCAGCACGTCCAAAGCAGAGGTTGAAATTCCTCCTCCGCCTCCAAGGCCCCATCCCCATCTGGGACGCAGCCTGGTCGCCGAGGCTGAGGTCCAGGAATCGCAGCTGTCTCCGCTCCTTCCCTCTCACCCGTGTTCCTTACACCAGCAAGCCCCTTGGCTCAACCCTGTCCCAAATCCAGCCGCCGCTCACCGCCCCCAATGCCAGCCCCAGGTCACGCCACGCCATCCTCCAGGTGGACACCACAGGAGTCTCCGCTTCCCCCCTAACTGCCCTGCTGCCCTTTCTCCCCACAGTCCCCAGATTCGTCCCTCAAAAGTGGAGCAGATCATCCCTGCTCACAGTCCCCAAAGGTCTTCCATCGTGTCTATGATGCAGTCTGTCCTCCTCTCTGCGGCTCGCAGGCCCTCACCCCTGCTCACCTGGGACCTCCTCTCCCTGGCTCAGGGTTAGGGTTAGGGTTAGGGTTAGGGTTAGGGTTAGGGTTAGGGTCAGGGACCTCCCTCCCTAACACTTGTTGACTCCAGGTGAATCACTGACTTAGCATCTGTCTCCCTACGGGGTCCCAGCCCCAGGAGGGTTCTGCTGTGCTCACTGCCGTGTCACCAGCACCCCGCACAGCCCTGCACAGAAAGGCTCAGAGCCATCCTGGACTCACGGGGTTTTCTCTCCATTCATTCAGTCATAGCCATAATGTGGCTACTCTTCTGACCCCATTTACAGGTGAGGAGACTGAGACTGAGACAGGTGCCCAGCCATGAATATGCATGAATGTTAACGGCAGGTGTATCTGAGGTGGGGGCATACCTTGCCGTGTACTGTTTTTGTATTATCGTTCCTCTCTTCTTCTTCCCCCCCACAGCCCATTTATTACATCTAAAATAATTTACAGGAATTCCTTAGTATGAAATATCCAAGGTGTGCTCAGACCTCCCCACACCTCTGCAGACAAGGCCCTTTCGCTTGGTTGCTGTATCTTTCAACTCTCTTTTAATCTGTAAGATCTTTTTCCATCTCTCTCTTTTTATTTTGAATCATATTTATAGGAGAAAGCCAGTTGTTTCATTTTGCAGAATTGTTCACACTCTGGAGTTTGCTGGTTATGTCCCCGTGATGTTTCTTTTGTCCCTGTCTTTCCTCTAAGTCCACAGTGAGTTCCAGGCACATGTTTCTCAAAGTGCCTCTCATTTTCTAAGTGTTCCATATTAATTCATGTCACTCGGGTATTAAAACAGTTTTAAGGCCCGATGTGTTGGCTCACACCTGTAATCCCGGCACTTCGGGAGGCTGAGGCAGGAGGATCACTTGAGGTCAGGAGCTCAAGACCAGCCTGGGCAGCATAGTGAAATCCTGTCTCTACAAAATATTTTAAAAATTAGCCAGGTGTGGTGGCTCGTGCCTGTAATCACAGCTACTCAGGAGGCTGAGGC